TATTAAATTCTTCCAAATTGAAAGCACAACCGTAAGTAATGGGCGGCGAAATTCCTAAATAGAATTCAAATTTAAAATCGTATAAATAATTAGGGGGGAGAACCTTTATACCCTCCTACCTAAAAATATTAATATAATACTAATATTACTTAGAGAATTTAATTTAAATTTTAACGTCGGTCTTTAAAAATTTATCTACTTTCTCATAGAATTTAATAATATCTTCGCATATAATTTTACTAATATTAATACTATTAATAGCGAAATACTTATTAATTACCTTTTTGCAACGTAAAAAATTATTATTAATATTATTAATCTAAATAGAATTAGCAACCTTTATTACGTATAAAATGATTGTATCTCCCTTTCCAATTAAAGTATTAATCTATTAGTAATGATTATTATTAAATAACTTTTTATATTTCTAATTATAGCCTATTAAAACTTCCTTAATTATCTCCTTAGTAAAACCATTACTTATACTCCTAAAATTTAAAATACCTCCTTCTTCCTCTATTTAATCCTCCTCCTTTATTCTTCTAATATTTTCCTCTATTTTAGCCCGGATAGTATAAATAATTTAGAATTTTATTATTTTAACTAATTAATTAAAACTCGCAACGGAAATCTCCTTAATATCGTTAGAATTAATAGGACCGTTAAAGATACTATAAAAATAAATTGGGGACTAATAGTCTATAATTTTAATATAGGCTCCTCTAATAATTTAATATAATACTAGCTAATAAATTAAAATATTAACTAGGAGGTTTATTAATATTAAAGTTTAGCCGGAATTAGTTAAAATTTTTCTAAATAGGGTAATACCTAATTAATTAACTATTCGGTTCTTAAATTAATTAAACTTTTAACGAATAATTTGTTTTATAATTATAATAATAGATAAGTAGTGGGCGGACTCCGTTTATAACAATTCTAATTCCCCTTTATCGGGTACCTCCTTATAAAAAAACTTTTTATATATAGGGCGAATACCGGGCGTATTAAAGTAGAGAATAGAGAGGTAGCGTACCGCTAAAGGAATATAATAATTAGCGGCTCTGTAAGAAAAATAACCGTATTATTCGCAGGCGGGGCCGAAATAAAGGGAATTACTAAGTTAATTAATATTTAAAGTATAATATATTAGTTAAAAGTAGCCGAAGATAATAGGGTTATTTTTAACGAAATTGTAAATAAAAAATTTAATAACCTTATAGTAAATTCCTACCTACATTATCACCCTAATAAAATAGGTAATACTACCTTTAATTTAATTATCGGTAAAGTATAAAAGTTTAGGGATTAGTAATTTAAAGAGGGGAAGGTAGTATTAGAATATAAAGCGTTAATTAATAAAATTAAGGGCGGTATAGCCGCTATTAATAAATATAGAATAATATATTTTATATAATCCGAAGGAAAGGTAGATAGAAAGATTCAATAAATTAGGGTATTTATAACGGCTATTTATTAAAAATCTATTTATTTTAATAATATTTAGCTATATAAGGATAAACCCCTATAATCTTCCTCTTTATCCTACGGATAGGCGCTTCTAAGTGTGATTTAGGTTAGAAGTTATATATTTCCCTATCCTTAAATTAAATTAGTTTTATTACTTATAAGGGGGCTAATAAAATTAAATTAATAGGTTAGAATCGGGTAATAATAACCGCCGGGGGTACTAAAGGTTAAAATAGCTATTAGGAAACCTATAGAGAAATTAATACTTATAGTATTAATTTAATAGCCGCCGCCGTAATTAGGGCGCTATTAGCCGTAATTATATTAACCCTAGGCCGGCCGCTACTACTAACTATTATTACCGTTAGCGTTATTATTATTATTATTACTATTATTATATTTATTCTTATACTAATTTCTATCTCTATCCTTACAGGGTTTAACTTCCTTCTTAAAATTAATGCCGCCGTAGTATTCCGTAGAAAAATAACCCTTCTTACTATAGCGGGTATATATATTATTTTTTATATAGTATTCGAAAATCTCATTATCAATTAAATAAAAGATTTAAACGTCGGAGGTAAATATTATATTAAAATTTATAGTAATACCTCCTTAATTAATAATAACTTCTTTAACGGCTATAGAAACGCTAGAAGTACCGGTAGTAATAGTATTAAAACCGGTCTTATAATAAAAGTTAGAATTTTTATTATACTAATTTTTATCCTCCAAATTCTTTATAAAAATACGGGCGAAAATTAACTACTTATTATACTTATTATTAGCGGGCTAAAAGTTCTAATAAATAATAATAGCGCGGACGTAGTCCGAGATCTTCTAATACAAATAATAAATTTTTATACCGTTATTAAAATTATAGCAATTAATTAAGCAAATAAAATTATTTTTGAACTCCTACTACTTTATACTTTTAATTATTTTTAATTCTTTAAATTCATATTAGAAGTAAATAATAATATCGATATTATTGTACTTTATAGTAAATTCTACTAAAAGGGCATTAGCTATAAACTATTTAATTGGGATTTTAATTAAGATTTTAATAAATTTAAATTCAATAACTTTAAAGGGAACGTCCTTAATAAAGCGGATAATAAACGAAAATTTCTTATATTTAATATTAAAGAGTAAGGGGTCGTCCGATTAAATAAACTAAATATAGAAATACTAGGCACGAAATTTAACAAAGTATTTAATAGTAATACCTTTACTATTAAACGTAGGTAATATAATAATATATAATACTAACCTATAACTATTATTAATGTCCGTAGAAATTATAATATTAAACTTAAATCTATCGTTACTAGAATTATCGTTTTCCGAAAGAATAATATTAGAAGTTTAAATAGTAATAGAATATTAGTGTAGGTTATTAATCGTTTTTTAATACTTCTCTTTCTACTTCTAATAAGTAATTCTAGAGTTAGCTCTCAATATAAATAAATCTAACTTTAGAGTAGCGATATCCGTTTAAAGCGAATCGATTTCGGCGGTATAGGTATTATAAATAGCCTTAATTATAACTTTATAATTCCTAATAGCCTCCTATACCTAAAAAAAACTTTAATTTGGACTATAGTAATATAATTATTAAATTATTTAATTTTTTATTAAATAAATTTTATATAGGATTCAGTAATTTCAAATAAGTCCTCTACTTCGCATACCTCTATCTTAGCACTAATAACATCCTTATAAATTAATTAATTAAGGGCTATAAAAATAGTACGGAATATAGGGAGGCTAGCGAGGCTAAAGGCGTTATCGACTAGAATATTACTAATAGCAACCGTTTAATTATTAAAAGTCTTAAATATTTATAAAATATTCGAGTAATACTCGAGGTTAATTAAATTAACTACTATAAAAATACTAATTACTATAATCGCCAAAAAATTATCAGTTACAGGGGGGGTAAATATTAATCGCTAAATTAATACTCTAATAAATATAAGGGAGAGAAAGAAAGGGCGAACTACTTAATTACAATATTCAATTTAATAGTTACCTAGCTCGAAGTCTAGGATTATAACGAAGGTTTTAATTACGTAGACGCGAATCTTAATTAACTAATTAATATAATTATAATTAATCTTCCTCTTTACTAAATAGTAAATATATATAGTATAATAATTTAATATAATAAACTATCACAGGGCGAATCGGACACTGTTAGGAATAGGGTAGGATATACGTTATTATACAAGGGAGGAGAAGGGAAGTATACGTAGAAGACTAACTATATAGGCGAAAGCCTAGTCTAAGCCAGTCCGTACGCGTATACACGCGTAGGGCTGCACGTAACTAGAGCCGTCAATAACTCTAGACTGGAGGCGTACAGTATAACCACATTACAAGCTAACCCTATAATATCCCTTATATTAATACAATTGGTATTTATAAGTTGGATTTATGGATTCTTAATAATACTAAGAACTTTTATTCTTTTAGGAAGGATAGGCGGTTTATTACTAACTTCCCCGTTGTATAGAAGAGTAATAAGAAGGCGTAGATAATTATTTCTATCTTTATAGAGTTCCTTTATTAATTTAACTATTAAATAGCTGGCCGATGAGTGTTATTGTTGGTCGATAGTATATATATTTATTACTCTACTTTAAAGTAATTAAAAGAGTAGTATAGTGATTATCCTCTGGTTAATACTACCGTCGAAGTTCTACCCGCTAATACTATTTCTATTTATTAGTTTATAGATTAAGGGATTATTAATAGTTTGAAAATTTATTACCACTACGTCTAGTTATAATATTTGGTCTATTATACCTTCGATAGCGAAAATGCTATTAAAAAGACTACGATATTGTAAGTAGTATATCGGGTTTTTAATATATGGAGGTATAAAGTTAGGATCGAGACTATTAATAATTGTTGGAAGAAGTTATAGTTATTAGGATCTGTGTATGGTCTAGAACGACGATTTCCTAATTGGGACGAAGCTATTTACATATAGTAGTTAGTAGAAGAGTTCGTTAGAGTTGGGCGGGTTAAAAATATAATAAATATTATTAATTTTATTAATTTACTAGAAGAGTAAGTTCGTAAGGACCTTTAAAATATCTTCTAGTACGTTGCTAAGACCTTCTCTAAAGTTTAGGAATTAAATAATGGCAATAATAATTAGGATGTTGAAATAGTAGAGATTACTATTGCAGAAGTACTTAAAGCTATTATTACCGTTATTTAGTACGAAGAATAATAAGAAAATGTAGATATAGTGTAGTTGGCGATGCTTAGAAGGCGCTAGAAACTGTTGTTCTGGGATCAATTGCGTTCTAGGGATGAAAAAAAGCAGTCAACCCTCGATTCGTACTTTACAAACGGTTCTACAGCAAAATCGCCATAGTAACCAGTTATTTAATATAAGTACGTTGTTCTTTAGTCTTTTGAACCCCCTGTTAGTAGAAATGTGGGTACCAAAATACCCTAACCTTACATTAATGATATTCTGGGCACAACGATCAGAACACTAGAAATACCCTTGATCGTTATGTGCAGGTTAAACAGTACTGTGAATACTTATCTTTCCCCTTCAAACATCATTCATCAAACGGAAAACACTCAACTTCGAATAATCACGCCACGAGCTTTGGCGCGCTCTCGAGTCTCCTATTTGCCATCAACACCCCTCAACAACAAAAGAGGTTCTGGCCAGCTCGTTATTCAACGATAGCTCGACGTCATCGGTCTCCATTTCATCCACAAGCACGATGAGCACTCAGCCCTCAGACAATGCGGAGCCTGGAGCCGCTCCGGCTGCCGTCAGCACTGACGCCGGCAACGAGAATACACCAACTGTCGCCGGATCCGAACCAGATGCTGCCAAACACGCCCAAGAGGAACCGAAAGTAGTCAATCCCACTGAACCCCAGCCGACAGCACCAGTCGACAGCGAGCCCAAACCCGCCGCTGCCCCCGCTCAAGACACCGACTCTCCCGCTGATGTCAAGGACTCGGTGTCAACAACAGCGGGTGAGCTTTCACCCCTAGCCCAACTGTGGAAGGCTGCCGAGGGCCATCCCCATTTCGAGATTTGGGGCGTCCCCCTCTCGGACCCCGAGAGACACATCCCGACCCAAATCATTTTCCAGAAATTCCTGAATGCCAACGATGGACAAGTCGAAAAGGCCAAGGATCAGCTGCTCAAGACGCTCGACTGGCGCCAAAAGACACAGCCTCAGCAGCTGCTCAGGAAGATGTTTTCCAAGGCCAAGTTTGATGGTCTGGGCTACGTCACTACCTACACAGCCGGCGACGCGCCTGCTGTTGACGAGCCCGAGCAAAAGGAGGTTTTCACTTGGAACCTCTACGGCAGTGTCAAGTCTCTCGACGAGACCTTTGGCAACCTTCAAGAGTAAGTCCCCATACCACTTTCTCCATCCCTGCTGTCTGCTTTACGCTTGTCATGTCGCTCACGCTTGGTGCTCCAAAGGTTTGTGGAGTGGCGTGTTGCCCTCATGGAGCTTGGTCTTATGGAAATCAACATTGGGGGGGCCATCAAGCCCATCACGGCCGACTACGACCCCTACAAGATGACCCAGGTCCATGACTACAAGGGCATCAGTTTCTTGCGTCAAACCGACGTGGCCAAGGCGGCCAGCAAAGAGTGTATCAAGGTGTTGGGCGACAACTACCCCGAGCTGCTCAAGGAAAAGTTCTTCCTTAACATCCCTGCCATCATGGGCTTCTTCTACGGCCTCATGAAGATGTTTGTCTCCAAAAAGACGTTGACCAAGTTCCATCCTATGTCTAGCGGCACAAACCTTGCAAAGGAATTTGTCAACACCAAGGTTGACGGGTTGGGCGACAAGCTCCCTGCTGAGTATGGTGGCAAGGGCGCGGACTTGAAGACACTGGGCAAAGCACCTATTGTCCAGTAGAGGACACAAGGTCCCGTCATAAAGGTAATGCGGCGACCAAGGATGTTTGATGATGAACGTGTTGCTGGTCTGGGCAAAACGTCTGAAGCGAAAAGAGGGAGGGAAAAGTCTGTGATATCTCCGCCCATGCTACTTGTCTTCGTTACTAATGTTTCACGCTTTACTGCCTATCTGATAGGCATCTTTTTTGTTTCTACTAGAACTAATGGCGACATCTCACTAATACCGGCAGTATGGGCCCAAAAACCGTTTCAGCAGCGTAGGTAGAAATTTCAGAACAGGTCAAAAAGGCCTTTGTTTCCGGACATGGGGCGGTCACACCAACACAAATTTCCATGTCTTCTCAACCAAGCAAGGCTTCGGAGGTAACCCAACGCTGTGATACTCACCAGACTGTAGACGGTGCGCCATCATATCGTGCATTATCCTAGTGTGCAGATCAAAAGCACGGCGCAGGTCTCTCCAATGGCAATGAGGACCCCGCAGTGTCACTCTGTCCAACCTGAAGCTGAAACCGGATACCTTTATCCATCATCATCATCATCATCTTCATCACCACCATCACACTTGGACGTTTATGTGATGGTTGTATGCTTTCACAAAAGCAACTTGCTACAATTCATCATCTCCTCTCCTTGATATACAAACTTCATATAAGCAAATAGCAGCCTAATACCCCCCTCAAGCTGAAGACACACTCTCCAAATCCAATCCACCATAATGATTACCGGACTCCATCACGTTCGTGTCTCCCACTATCCCATCCCATCCCATCACCTTGCTCACAACACCCCTCCATCTGACAATCAGTATCATAGGTAAACATCCTCGTCCCCCCTTCCACCCTCCACCTCGCCACCCTCTTCTACGGCACCACCCTCGGCCTCATTCCTCGCCCCGTCCCGGCTTTGCAACAAGGCACCTTGGCTTGGTTCGATTTTTCGCAAGAGTCAGGTCAACAGCTGCATGTTGCGCTAGGTCGACCCGATATCGATTTCACGCCCGAGGCTAGAAAAGCCGATAGACATCCTTGTTTCCGAGTGGAGAACGCGGAGAAACTGAAAGAACTGCAGGAGAGGATTTGGGAGCATTATAAGAGGGGAGGGGAAGGGGCGCCGATGGAGTGTGATGAGCCGGGGACGGTGGGGAGTGGTGAGTTCCTATTTTCTTTTTCCCTGACTTGAGGGGTGGAAGAGGGGATGAGGGGGTGGTGAGTACTTGGGCTGATACCAACGCTATTGTAGGTCACCAGGGAGTTGAGTACCCAAAGAGATTCTTTGCGAGGGACTATGCGGGGAATAGGCTGGAGTTCAGCCTTTAGTTCTCTTAGCTGTGAGGTGCAATGGAAGTGACGGAGGACGACAGGATCAGAGGGTGGACCATATCGAGACGAGACTTGGATACATGCAGGGACCAGGTATGCGCTGTTAATTGAATGCATGTCTGACAGCTGCAGTCTACTTGGGACATGTCCATCTTTCACGGAAAAATCAACGTTTCTCTGGGTACGGGACATCATGCTAACTGGACCCATCAGCCATCATCTACGCCGATACCTTTCCCTCCTTCTTACATGGCATGAAGCTTCGTCTAACATTTCACAGTCCTTTTTCCTACTTCGTCCCTCTTCCGTTGGCACATCAAGTGAAAATGACATCAACATGCCCTCCATTACTCCAGCCCTGACATCCACCCGTCGGATTCCCATTCGCATCATTACTCACCACTGCCCCCGGCTGGCCCTGGCAATTCTCCAATCTATAACTCCTTTGCCTCCCGCATGTAACGGCCCCCGGCTCACTGCACGTGTACACACAAGTCTGCATGTCCGACCGGCACCCGCTCCCTCTGACCACCACCGTCATCGGATGTCCTTGCATGTTCACCAGCCGACTTACGTCCGTCGTGGCAAATGAGCCCGTGTTGAACTCGCCAAACGTATTGTTCACCTGCCCGTACTCCGTCAGTGTCGTCGTGTAGTTGTACAGCGTCGACCAGCCGCCGGGAACCTCGTTATCAATCGACACCACCACTGCATTGCCTTGCGTGGGGAGCGAGTACGTGATCTTGGGGGTGCGCGCGTCCATGAACGAGGACTGTGCGTCTTCTACGGGGTTGTACCAGACCACCAGGATCAAAGGCACCGAGGCCCCGTTGATGAAGGAGAAGGTGTTGGGACCGTTGGTGCCGAGATAGATGCCCGCGGTCCCTGAGGCGGCCGAAAGGGCGTTTTGTCCCTGCGAGATGACGCCGATGGTGGAGAGGTAGGTGCAGTCCGGGGGGGAGAGGCCAGGCACGGGGCTGGCACAGTTGTAAGGGATGGGCAGGGCGTTTTGGACGGGAGACTGGGGAGAGGGAGGTCCGTGGGAGGGACTACTCGGTGGCACTGGTGATGGTTGTTGCTGAGTGCCGGCTGAGGAGGAAGAAGGGAGCGGGATGTTGGGGATGATGTTGCTGACGCCCGATGTGACGGTGATGGTGGTTGGAGTCACGGTTATGGTCGAGGTGAGGAGCGGAGGAGCGAGATTGGCTGGCCTACTCGAAGTGTTGGTCACTGTAGCGGATGACCCAGGTATTCTTTGGGTTCGAACGTGGAGTAAGTAGCGACTTACGACGACGGGCCCTGATTGCCCAACTTCAAATCCCGATCCACGAAGGCAGATGCGCAGCTCGCAAGAAGCAGCACACACCAGTAGAAGTAAATCTTCATGATCATGTTTCCGGCTTGCTCAGTTTCAGGTTCGGCACCGAACAATACGGAACACCAGATTCACGGATCCGGGCTCTGAACTTCCAACCGAAGCCGACAGCCTGTTCTTAAGGCTCCTCTCTCGCCGGTCAGACCTGCCATTCTCGGTGTCGACGTCCTCACCTTGTTTCCGACCGAGCAAGTACGACTAGTGAGTTGTAATTGTCGTGGGGGAGTTGTGTGACAGTATGACCGTGACTTGGTCAAGACGGCAAGAGCGTTTGTGGTGTTTGAATGGTCGAGAACCTCGGTGATCCGCCATTGCCACCAACATGGAAGGCAGCACGGAGCCAAACTATTCGGGTAGATGCTTCAAAGTTCGGATGGAGATCGTCGCCCACCATGATGACTTTCTCTCTCTCTCTTCCGTTGCGGTGTTCAAACTTTCCAAATATTCACTGATCCAGGTCATTCGAGTTCGGCATCTCGGAAAACCAACCTCCGACCTGATTGGAAACTTCATCTGACGCAAAGTGAGGACTTGGATTTCAGTTGCTCGACTACCTAGTCATGGCATGGCGCAACCAACAGTTTACACATACGATCTGGCGGTAGCTATGGTTCCTTCGGGTCCTGGCTGCTTGTTTCACCAAGACGACGTAGCAAGCTTTTACGATTGGCCATAGTCATGATCGCGCTGTTTCCGCATTTCTGTCCCATCCCATCAACATCAAGCTCTCAGTTACGCTGAGACTAAAGAGGTGTGAGACTAAGAATAAGAAGAGCACAAACTTTCTACTTGATCATTTCATCGAGTCATTATCATTCCCCTCCTACGTTTATTCACATCATCTTTATTGATATTATCCTTCCATTCCATCACCATGAAGTCCCTGATGCCACTTATAGCCAGCTTGCTGTTCACAAGCACAACGGCTTTCCGCCCTAGCCAGCCAGTCACTGGCCATCTCGAGGGAGGTCTCAAGCATCGCTCGTCAGACCGTCGACAAGAGACCGGGAAGAAAAGCCTCACAAGAGTACCGTTGGAAGTTGACTCGAGGAATAACGGAAAAACCGAACTCCAATGGATGGCAACCATCACGGTCGGCACCCCTCCTCAGACATTGTAAGTTAACATGGCATCCCTATGCAGAACAAGGGAACGACTAACGTCACCATCCATAGCAAAGTCGTTGTAGACACTGGATCAACCGCTATTGTCCTCCCTCGTAACAACTGCACCAACTGCGGCAAACACTCGCTCTTTAACCCATCCAAATCCACATCATTTTTGCCCCAACCTGCACTTTTTCGTCCCATCGAGTACGGCACTGGTGCAGACACTATCCCTCTCAATCAAACCGGCCGAGCAGAATGCGAAGTCGTCACCGACACTGTCTCGATACAGGGTCTTTCTACCCCGAAACAGGAGTTCTTGCTTTGTCATAGCTACGGCGAGACTCTGTCTTCCCAACTTGCCGACGGAATCCTCGGCATTGGTCCTGCTGACATCTCGGCTTGGGACGAAAGCGGGAACTATACCTATCTCCCCTTTCTACCCAACCTCGTCAGTGAGGGGCAGCTCTCAAACAAGATCGTTGGTCTTGCCCTCGGGTCTGGTGGCCAGAACCAGCAACAGCGCGGTCCTGAAGCCTCCATCGGCGGCGTCGACGATGCGCGCTATCATGGCCGTATCAAGAACGTCAGTGTCGATGAAATGCTCACCACTCTCTCGGGTGTGTTTACACTAGATGTACAAGCTGCCTACATCGGCTCCGGAAATAACAAGCGAGTATGGCCCAACTCAACCAACGGCAACAAGCCACTCGTGCCGGGGGTTGCTTACATCGACTCAGGGACCGCCTACATGCTGGCTCCTGACCAACAAGCAGCCGAGAATCTCTACTCGGGCATTTCCAAGGACATCGTCCCCCTCAATGATAGGGGATCATGGGGTGCGAGTTGTGCTACGCTGGATGAAGTGGCGACGGACATCACGTTCACTGTCGGGACGAAAACCAGAGGCGAGGTGATTGAAGTGACTATGCCGAAGAGTGCATTTAACCTGGGTGAGTATCCTGGCAAGAAGGGGGTGTGTCAGGCGGCGTTTTCTCACTGGGATCCTCCCTTAATTGAGCCTGTTGAGGGCCGTCGGCTGTGGTTGTTTGGAAGCCCTTTAATCAAGGCTTATTACACGGTTTGGAATTCCAAGAGTAGCACGCTTGGTTGGGCCGAGAAAGTTTAGAACTGAGGCATGGGGCTACGCACCATGAACAAAGGAAGAGTTGAGGCGCGCTGAGTGATTGTATGAGGTTGTAGTATGTCTGCAGTTTTACCCTAATCAAGAGAACCGTACTTGTACACCGAAGAGGAAATTCCCGAGTCCGTTTTGCATGGTCAGTAATATGTATGTTTTAGTCGGATATGTGGCACATGGCCACGCCCTCGGTTGCTCTTTTCTTGCTCTCCCCTTCCTCTGTCTCAATAGTGTCGACTCGACAAGGCGGCTGATGCCAATTGTTATGCACAAACTCCTCAAGGTCCAGTCTCCCCAAGTCAAGAAGCCCTTTGATGTAGTTCCCGCTCCTGGTCAGGAACTGTAATGCCTGATGTTGATAAACATTTCCCGACCCCTTCGTACACACTTCGAGCTACCCAGCTTATAATTTGACCCTGTTTTCTCTTTCAACAAACACCTTTGGACTCATACAGATCCTAGCCCATTACCAAGCAGCAGGCCTCCCAATTCCATCTTGTGATTTTGGAAACTCACATCTTGGCTAACAGTCGGGCAGTCTTTTACATTTGCAGTTATTCTTTGCTGCTGCTCATGTACGTGTAAGTTGGAGACTGACATCGTCCACAGTGCTTATTATTAAAGCACGAGATGCAAACATTCCGCTTTTGTTCCATATCTTAAGCTCAACCAGTTACCTGCCGCATCGAATGGCTACCCGTGCCGCGGTCCAAGACCTCCGGCGATGCAAACTAAACACCCATGTGAGCGACCATGGATTGCTCTCGAATCCGGGGAAAGGAATGTGATAATGAATCGCGGAACACTTCCCCCTCTTTTCAATATCTAACTTCTCAATGGCGCTCCAAGCTAGCCAAGTTCCTCTATCAGCCCTGCTATCAAATAATGTAAAGCTTCGGGGAAACGATATTCGCGCGGCTCGTTGGTGATGATGGTTGAAACACTCTTTCTTCTTCCCCTCATCTTGTGCCGTCCGGCGTTGACAGACTGTTTCGTGGCTTGGATCTTGAAAGCTCAAGCTATCACAACTACACTCTCTCAGATAATGACAATGCCAATGAGTCGTAGTCGAAGTGCTTTCAAGATGCATATAAAGCCATCACGATAACCTCACTCAAAGTCTCTCAACTCAAGCTCCAAACACAGGCACACACCTCCAAAGCCAAGTTCAGCCTGCTCCTGAGGGTCAACCCAAAAGAGCAACTTTGATTTCCGTCACCAACACCAAGTCCATCTCGAGCAGCCGAGCCAAGCACTCAAAGCAAAAAAAAATAAGTCAAAATGCTCTTCCAACCTATCCTCACCAGCACCCTCTCCCTTCTCGTTCTCTCCTTCGGCTTCACTTTCGCCGCTCCAGCCCCAGCCCCAGCCCCAGCCACCGGCACCCCCATCGCGATCCGCGAAGTCTCAACCACCGAAACCCTGGACCCCCGCTCCTTCTCCTCCCGTATCACCTGGTACAACACCGGCCTTGGCGCCTGCGGCACTGTTTCCAATGACGGCCAACTTGTCGTCGCGCTGAACCACGACCAATTCGACCCGTCCACGCCCAACGGCAACCCGAACCGCAACTCGCTCTGCGGCCGCCGGATCAGAGTCAATGCCAACGGCAGGAGCGTCACGGTCACGCTGGTTGATCGGTGCGCGGGGTGCCCGTATGGTGGATTGGATTTGAGTCCGGCGGCGTTTTCGGTGTTGGCGAGCACGAGTGTGGGGGTGGTGCAGGGGAGTTGGGATTGGGCTTAGGGCCTACGAAGGTTATTAGGTATGGGGGCTTTGGATACTGGGATTTGGGGAGAGTCGGAACTTTTGAAGGCAGGTGGACTTGGCTGGGTTTGTGGTGCATGCCGGAGGGAACTGAGAAACTTGTGAGGGGGCTTGATGCTGGGCTGAGAGATGGGATGGGATGGGACGGGACGCATAGTTGTCGGGGAAGGAGGGAGCGGAAAGGTGCGTGGCGGACGGGGCGGGCGGGTAGGCAAGGGGGTGAGGAGGAATGATCTTGAGCTCTTGACGGATCTTTTGTTTCATAAGTATTCGATTGAGTGTCCGTTTATCTGTTTTCTTTTCCCGCCTGGCCAGCGGGAACTTCCCTCTTTCTCATTTTCTTTTCGATTCTGCAAACACTCATTATGGTTGTGTACGGGACAAAGCTTCCACCACAACAACCTTTGCAAAGTCTTCGACCACCTCACTCTTTGGACCAAACTAGGTTTGCGCTGCCCCAAGAGAGGTTGCAAACTCCTAGTTTTGAGGTATTTCTGAAACTCCTAGCTATTCATATCCAAGCTGCAGTTCAAATCAAGCTTACGATCTCTCTATTGTGAATCTTCGCCATGTCCTGGACGATACCAGTGTTATCATTTGTTTACTTACCCTTTGATCCTATGACGGCTTTAAACTAGTTGTCATGCTTTCAAGAAGCCCCACCTGCCACTGACAAGGAGCTGGCTGGCTTGTGGGCCATCACTTTCAGATATTATTTTGTTCGGGTTCATACTGTGCAAAAAGCCCTCGCAACCACAAAAATGAGATGGGTACACAAGAATTTATTTTGTGACCTATAGTTTTAACGATTGAGCCGCTAACTCCAACAATAACAACAAGTAATCCCCTTGTGGTGTAGTTGGCTATCACGTTCGGCTGTAATTGCGAGATTGTATACCGAAAGGTCACCGGCTCGATTCCGGTCGAGGGGAAAGTTGTTCTTTTTTTTGTCTTTTTTTTTCTTCGCTTTCTTGCTTCCTATACGAATCTCGTCAACTTCTTCAGGTTGCTCATCCAAATCGCCAATGTAAATCATCGCAGGTTGTGAATATATAACATCAATGAGTTAGGTAATGTATCATGCTTTTTGCCCTATCTCGTTTGGATAATTCGTAGTGTCTCAAGCCACTGAATGACAAAATAACCAAAGCCAAAGAAAAACAGTTAACAGTTCTTAGGTATTGAAGTGGTAAATGGATGGCGGTTCGAGCAACACCCTAATCTTGGAGACTTTGGTGGCATGGAGGATGGTGGAATGGCGACATATGAGAAATGCATTGCGCGAGTGAGATGCGTCTCCCCCGCTCCTCCGCACGGCGGATCACCTACCATCACCACCATTCCACCATCACGCCAAATAGCACAAACATGAGGTCATCGCCAACTTGTCCACCGCGACCTCATAAACGTAAAGAGGTTCTCCTTGGATGCGGATGAAAAGCGCAAAACTGTCAACTTCCTTGACACCCCCAAAGTTTCCAAAGCAAAGCCTTTGCAAACAGAATAAAAAATCTCAACTTCCCCGGATCAAGCCTCCTATCAACGCAACATGGCTACGGCAGCCATTCAGGTTTCAGTCCCAGCTCCGGTCGGACAACCAGATATCGGGTACGCTCCTGACCATGACAAGTACCTCGCAAGAGTCAAAAGACGACGAGAAAACGAGAAGTTGGAGTCGTCTCTTCCGCCAGGTTTCCCTCAAAGACTAGACTCGGTTCTTGTGTGGGACGGCAACACCCTCGCCGAAACCTACGACTGGACCTACAGACTGACAGAAGAGGACATTGATGAAATCGAGTCCGCACTTCGCCATTTCAAGAGTTAGTACAGCCAGCTCCCGAGGGCATCTCTCCTACCAGTCCTTGGGCCATCAAGCCATCAACTAACCGTCATCGCATGACAGGCCTCAACAAACCCCTAGGATACATCAATCAGGAAACCTTCCCCCTCCCCCGCCTACACCACACCCTCCGCTCCCTCTCCCACGAGCTCCACCACGGCCACGGCTTCAAAGTCCTCCGCGGGCTCCCCGTCACCTCCCACACACGCGAGGAAAACATCATCATCTACGCCGGCGTCTCCTCGCATGTCGCCCCCATCCGCGGCCGCCAGGACAACCAACACAACGGCCATCCAGCCGACGTAGTCCTAGCACACATCAAAGACCTGTCCACGACTGTTTCTGACGTAAGCAAAATCGGTGCCCCCGCCTACACCACCGAGAAACAAGTCTTCCACACCGACGCAGGCGACATCGTCGCCCTCTTTTGCTTGGGAGAGGCCGCCGAGGGCGGACAGAGTTATCTGTCCAGCAGCTGGAAGGTGTACAACGAGCTGGCAGCCACTCGGCCCGATCTGATTCGCACGCTGGCGGAGCCGTGGGTGGCAGACGAGTTTGGGAAGGAAGGGAGGAAGTTTTCTGTTCGACCGCTTTTGCATTACCAGCCTGCTGCTGCTGCCGCTGCTTCTGCTGTTACTGCTGCTGCTACTGCTTCTGGGGAAGGAAAGCCAAAGCCCTCCGAACGGCTCATTATCCAGTACGCCCGCCGCACTTTCACGGGATACTGGGGATTACCGAGGTCGGCGGATATCCCGCCCATTACGGAGGCGCAGGCGGAGGCGCTGGATGCGCTACATTTTACGGCGGAGAAGTATGCGGTTGCGCTGGATTTTAGACAGGGGGATATCCAGTTTGTGAATAACTTGAGCGTGTTCCATTCTAGGGCGGGGTTCAGGGATGAGGGGGAGAAGCAGAGGCATTTGGTTAGGTTGTGGTTGAGAGATCCGGAGAATGCGTGGGAGACGCCCGAGGCGTTGAGGGAGCGCTGGGAACGCGTGTATGGCGGGGTGAGTCCGGAGAGGGAGGTGTTTCCGCTTGAGCCACAGATTAGGAGCGCGAGTAAGGGGGAGAGCGTGGGGACGCAGGGTGGGGGAGGGTACTGACGAGGGAGGTTGAGAGGCGTTGATTATGAGTGTAGCTTGGTTGCACGACTTGGATATTTGGGTAGGTTGGTGGGTGTAATGTAAGCAGATCTTGAATGGCATTAGATTCTTCGAGTCAATGTGGAGTCTTCCGATACGAAGGCTGTTGTTCAACCGGATAGAACTGTTCTCGAATGCCTCGAGGTTGCCCATGGGAATACTACCACATGTGGCTCTCCCACTTGAAGTGCTTCTCAACAGACGAAAAGAAATCGCCTCTAATGTCACCATCAAGCCACACTGTTAACGCGGCGTGGGGTCTTCTCGCACCTATAGCACCATTTGCACCATAATGGTGCCATTCGAACCCCCCATCTCCATAGCACGACGATCACCGAGAGTTTAGCATGCTGTAAACTACACCAAGAATACCAAAAGCCTGCCAATGATAAAGCGATGAGGCAAGATGACGAGCGTTACCTCTACCACATTTGGCTGTCTGCCGCTGTCCTTGGCCGTGTCTCTCATTGTGACTCTGCAGGTGATGACCTTCCTCGTCCGGCAGGCGTGGGATTGGATCGATGTGATAACAATAATCGCAAGTCGGTGTTGCTAGCCATAACTGTCCATACAAGCCGCCGCCAAGGACATGCAATATCGACCATTTATCACGAGCGAAGGTACTCGGCCATCACGCACTCGACGCCTTGAGAGTGCTTGAGGCAGAGAAGACGTGTGAAGGGATCCAGAGCGTGGGGTGAGAAGAATAAAAGGAATGGAACTGTTGGAAGTGCCGGGATTCATATATGGATCTCATGGTTGTTCTGATGTTGCTTTCCAAATAACAACAGGTTCCCGGTTTATCTTGTCTTTCATGCCGTAACACAACACCGCTCTAGTCTTTCTCTGCACTTGCTCACCTATCGATACTGATCCAGATACTGACGGCAATGTCCTTCAACTGGCGACGGCCGTTCACTCGCCGGCAAGGCGATGATCTTGCTAAGAGCGAATCCCACTATCGACCCAATGGGCCCTTCGACGGCGATGGTGGCACCGTCAGCGACGGCAGTCTCCAATACACCGTCGAAAAAGGCGGCAACGACTCTCCGCCTGCGTACCAAGAAGCCACGGGCGCGCCGGTCGAAGTCAATTCCCCGCTGGGATACTCCGTCGGCCCTCTGTCCATCATCATGCTCAACATCGGCAAGATGATTGGCACGGGCGTGTATTCGACTCGTGAGCCACCCCTCCAGTTCTTCTCTTATCCTTCTTTCTCTGCGTTTTCCGTGCGTACTATCATGGGCTGGTGTTGATTGCGTCCATCTCGATCTTGTTTTTCGGGAAACGGCTATACAGCATCAAACATCCTTCGAGGTACCGGATCTGTGGGCCTCTCCATGATCTTCTGGGCTCTCGGCTTCTTGACGTCGGTTGCGAATCTCTCGGTGTATCTCGAATATGCGGCGTACTTCCCGAATCGATCGGGGTCTGAGGTGGTGTATCTGGAACAGGCGTATCCAAGACCGAGATGGCTGTTCCCGACGGCGTTTGCGTTTCAGTCGGTTGCGTTGTCGTTTAGTAGCAGTAATGCTATCGGTGAGTGTTTTGCTTGTTCCATCTCTGAAGCGTTCAGGGAAAAAAAGATGGTTGGACTGATTGACGTGAATGACACGCAGTCCTTGCACAGTACTTGTTCAGAATAAACGGCCACTCTCCAACAGCTTGGGAACTCAAAGGCGTAGCTGTAGCTGGGTACACCGTCGCCGCTTTGTGTACGTCTCTTTCCACTCTTACGTCTATGCCACTCTCTCATTGCTAACTCGCTCCCTTTTATTTTTCAGTCGTCTCCTTCCACACCCGCCTCTCATACCTCTTCGCCAACGGCATCGGCATCATCAAAGTCCTCACCCTCATCTTCATTTCCATAACCGGTCTGGTCGTGCTAGGCGGGCATGTCTCCACCACTCGGATCCCCGACCCCCGTGTCAACTTTCGCGATGCTTTTTCTGGCCAAGCAACGCCCTACGGCATCACCAATGCGCTGTACAAGATCATCTTCTCGTACGCCGGGTTCGAGAACGCCTTCAACGTGGTCAACGAGGTGAAGAGCCCCGTGAAGCAGATCAGAAGGAACGGGTTTGTCGCGCTACTCATCGTGGCCGTGCTGTATATCCTGGCGAATGTGGCGTACTTTGCCGCGGTGCCGAAGGAGGAGCTGGTGCAGAGCCAGCAGATTGCGGCGAGCCTGTTCTTTACCAAGGTGTTTGGGTCGAGTGGTGCGGTGAGGGGGTTGAATTTCCTGATTGCCTTGAGCTCGTTTGGAAATCTGATTGCTGTGTTGATTGGGTCGTCGAGGTTGATTAGGGAGTGTGGAAGGTGAGTCTCGAGGAATCTGTTTGTCGGTCATGCTCATTGTGATTGCTGACACATGTTCTTTCCGTGATGACAGGCAAGGCGTCCTCCCCTTCCCACGCTTCTGGGCTTCCACCCGTCCCTTTGGCACTCCGCTTGGACCGTACTTCGTCAAATGGGCGCTGACTATCCTCATGATTTTGGCGCCTCCCGCTGGTGACGCCTTCAACTTCATCACCGATCTCCAAGTCTTGCCTTCGGCCTTCTTCCAGTTGATCATGGGAATAGGTTTGTACGTCGTCCGGTACCGGCGGTTTCGGCTTAACCTTCCTCGCCCGGAGTTCAAAGCCTGGGACCTCGTAGTCGTGTTCAACATCTTGGTACAGCTGTACCTGATCGTCATGCCGTGGTATCCGCCCGCGGGAGGAGCGTACGCGGGCGATGTCAGCTTTTGGTACGGGACCTATGTGGTCACGGGTATCGGAATGTAAGTCCTGATTTTTTTTTTTTTTTTTTTTTTTTTTTTTTTTTTTTTTTTTGGTCCCTAATATTGTGAAGTCACTGCGATTTGTAGAAAAGGAGTGGTCAACTAACGCGGGCACCAGCTTGATCGCATGCGCCATCTATTACTACCTCTGGATCTCCGTGATCCCGAAGCTGCGGGGCTATCGCATTCGCCAGGAGGTTCTGCGACTTGAGGATGGTGCGCAGAGTCACAGACTTGTCAAGGTGCCGGTTGCTAAGTTGGCTGAGTGGGATGCCACGCATGATGCTGTTGGTCGCCCGTTGGATGGCTCCACGATTCGTCCACATCGCGGCTCGGCTGGAAGTGACGGCGGTTCGGACGAGAAAAAGCAAACTTCGGCGGATGAAGTACCGCTAGGAAGAGATGACCAGCATGTAAAGAAGTGAAGAAACATTACTGAGCTGTCATGACGGATATATTTTGTTCAAATCTTGTGTGCTCTATCGGCCAGTCTCTTGGTATGTCGCGCTATAGGAGAGTGACAGTCACCTCATGACTCGATTTCCTCTTTTCTCTCATTTCTCAAAACAACATCAAGCCACCTCTTTGACCGATCATGAGACTCCATGCCTGCTTCTACTGTCGGTCCTGTCGTTGACCCGGCGTTTGGTTCCAAGTCTGACTCTGGATCCTCATCTATCGAAACTGCGCCCATATTCTGAAGCTTCTGAACTAGCTTCGCAAAGGCTTTTTTTTCATACTTTAAAACACATGCCCAGTCTTCTTGAAACCCTTCTGGCAACCAGTCACGAATTTTTCTGCGGCCGGTCTGACAACATTGCAATATTCCACTCAGATCGACAGATTGTGCAAAGTTGTCATAGTAGTTTTCCAGTAGAAACAACAACGCAGCGGGTGGAGTGAAGAAAATGGTAGCTAGAAACTCGACAACATTGCCCACGAATTTCATCTCTTTCGGGTTGTGATGGCTGCCGTACACGTGATAGTCATACCATATCAAGTCCAAGGATGAGCAAAGAAGGTGACTGCCGACAGTTTCAAGCAGAGATCGAGAAAGATGGAAGGCTGACACGACTAGAAGACGGAGTAAAACAATGATTTCGTCTGACGGTCTATCCCCAACCCACTCAATTCCATAAAGAGTCGACAGGGTATAATAGTATGGAATGTATTCTGCGTTGGTTTCTTGGGGAAGATCAAGCAGGAAAAAACGGAATACCAGCTGGGGATCCAGGAATTGTTCAGGAAACAAAACGGTTTGGATAAGTACCGCATGCCCGAAGAAATCGCGACGATCGACATCGCATTCGTCGCGATCAATTCGCATTCGGAGAAGTGCATTGGGCAGGTAAGTCTTCATCGTTGCTAGGTCAAGACACTTGAGCTGGTTTGATGGCTTGAATCGATCGGAAGTCAGGAATTCTTGAATGGTGTAGTGGGAGAGATCGCAATATAACACCCCGGGGGGTTCGTCGGGTTCGTCGTCCTTCTCAAAAGAAACAAGGCAACCACAGCAATCTTTAAGCCTGTCGAGATTACAAGGAACAGAGATTTGGTTGGCCCGTTCTGAGGATCCATAACGATGCAACGCATAGTAGCTCAAGATCTTGGAAGGATCCAAGAGATCGTCAAAGAGCTCGTACAGATCTTCCGCGTAGACGAAGATGATCCAATGGATGGTGAATCGGACAAGTTCGAGATCATCTGGATGAATAAGATTCAAGATCCTAATGTAGGTTTCGTCCAAGTCCTTGGGGAGAGTTTTGATCGTTTCCCTGACGTCTTCGTGCGTTGCGCAGTTGAGGCGACGAAGGATATCCAACTGGCAGACCGCCCAACGAAACATGCCTTTTGCTCCTTTAGCAAGTGCATCAACCACCTCAAGCTTCAGATCGTCGGGCCAGTGCTTGAAACTGTCGCTTTGACTGATCCTGCTGCGGACAAAGACCCGAATATCCTTTTCCACCTCCTCATGTGAAGTATGCACGGGAAGGGAGACGGGAGTCATGACTCGCTCAATGTCGGCATATTCACGGCTAGTGGTCAAGAGTCGGATTTTTTGAAATCGCGGGTTGGTAGCCAGTGTACGAAGAACATCCAGGAGAACATCTCGCGGCTGTTGACTCTCATCCAAAGCATCAACCACGACATATACCATGTCCAAACCGTCGAGTTGTGCATGGAGCGCTGAAAGGAGTTTGGTTATGTCCGGATCTTGGCCGCTTCGGTAAATATCGTAGGTCAAGCTCGAGACCGTGTCAGTTTTCCGACAGAGTTGGCTGATGAGCCATCGGAGGAAGGAAAAGGTTTCATCCTGGTTGTGGCCGTGATAGCAGTAATAATAGACGAGTGCCACGTTGCCCGAGCATTTGGTCTTGATGAGTTGCTCGATGATACGAGAGGCAAGGATGGTCTTCCCTGCCCCGGGGATGCCATGGATCCAAAGAGAGCGTTCCTTGGACTGGTTGTTCACCCACAGGTTCCACTCTTGGGAGCGGAAGATCCAGTCACCGGTTCCCGTCTCATAGAGGCTTTTCGTGGCGTTGTGATTTGAAGAAGGGTTGATTTGGACGAGCCAGGCGTGCAGTCTGTCCTGTTCGGCCCGATCGAGCTTCGCTTTCATCGACTGAACCTCGGATCTGTTCATCCGAGTTAGATATCACCATGTATACAACTGCAATTATGACATACGTACAATACAGATGCAGTGAGAGCTGCGCCGATGGTCTGCTTGTGTGTTGTGATCGCCTTCAGTAAGGCCACTGCTTCGTCTTTTCTGAAAGGCCAGGCGAGTTCATCCAGAGTTGGCAGCCTCGCCTGCAACCGTCTGCGCTTAGAACGACTGCCTCCAGGTGCAGCTGTGCCAGAGGCCGAGTTCAGGTTGAGAAGACTGTGTAACTTGTGAATCGTTTCTTGACACCCTTGTATTGGTCCATCATGTCCTCTAAGTTGTCTGATGATTTGTGCGTCTTCGAAATCCTCTTCGCGTAGTATCTTCAATCCTTCTAATACTGAGGTGAGCGAGTTAAGTTCGATGAAGATCACTCGGATTTCGCGCGGATGGTTCTTGATGCCGTCAATGTAGCTCTTGCAGGTCTTTGCGACTTCTCCTGCTAGGCCTACTACGGCGATGAGGCTAGCCGTGAACGATAATGGATCCATAAGGACGACGTGACGAGCGGAATGAGCGAGGAGAGCATCGCCTGGATTGACGAAATGATAAAGTGCGATGGTAGCGATACATAATATTTCGACCAGCACACTTATTCGGTTGTGAGCGAAGGCTTAGCATTTTACTCATCTGGTCAGCCAGTTGTTGGGCTGCGGCAGTGCTGAATAGTGCCCGATTTCCAAAGGGCTGAAACGCGGATGCTTCCCATTTGACCAGTCGCGAATGCCATGTCGAACCGAAGTACTCCCATTGAGCACAACACCCATTTGCAGGCATCGAGCTGAGCGCCTGGCTATCAGCCATCAATGAACAACCAGAATTACGCTGGCTTCTGACAGGTAAGGAAGGGCGGAATATCTCCATGTTGGTACCAAACAGAGAGGAGGTGAGGAGACAAGGCAGACAAAGTGTTCAGTCTCGGGACAACAGCTTTGGTTCGTATGCCGGCGAGGTGATTCGGTCAATCCGCGGCCTCGCACTCAGAATAACGGTGCGCGTCATGGTGGAACAAGCAAATCGGGAAGCAGGCCAAAAGGCGACGAAGTGGTCAACATTTTGTCACATCTCGCGATTGTGGGAGAAGGTTGAGCAGGCAGAAGTAAACGGGTACACGAGGGGTGGTGGGTGCCTTTTGTTGGCTGGGCGCCAAGGCTGCTCCCACCCTCTCACCTTAGCAGATATGGTACATGTGTTTAACACATTTGGTACTATAAATACAAGCTTGCGCCAAACCTTTCATCGACGAAACCTGTATCAGAAATATCTGTGTTCTCATTGACTTTGTAAGGACGGAGGTTCCGATGATCAGTTTTCGTCTTGAGCTCAATGAGTTGTGTTTAGAATTTGGGGTAAAGAAGCGGCCGCCCTCATCTCCGTTGCCTTGGTTGAGGCGGCGCTTCCGAGGGACGGAGGTGAAAGTGTTAGGTCACAGGAGGGAGAGTCCTCATTTCCCAAGTCAGACAACTTTGACATGATACGATTTGCAAACTCTCTTCTTCGGAATCTGTTACCCCTGTCTTAGCTATGTAACTTGGAATTTCCAAGATAACACTGAGAAAGTGGTTGGATGGATATTGGTGGTCTGTCGGTTGACAGGCTTCTCAGCATTTGGTTTGCGTTGGTCTGATTGTCCGTCCCTCACTAAAAAACATGTCCCATATTTTCTATCCTCATGCCATGAGCGCCCAGACCCAACAACGCACCCATCACCCTCAGGGGACCTGGGACCCTAGGTAGCCTCAAGGTAACTTTCGAGCTCATGTCAACACCGAGCATTGACCACATCGACCTCAAACCTCAACAAACAGAACAACCGACATGAGTTCAGCCCACGTTGCCATTCGGCAGACGGATCCGAATCGTGCTGACTGTTTTGAAATTTTACCGCCGGATGGTGCCGTCTCGGAAGGCCAGCCTGAGGCGATCTGTGTCTGGCATGTCGCCGACGCGGTTAAGGTCCGCTTTTCTGGGGCGCAACTCCACCAGCCGCCAATGGGAAGGGCCGGTGTGGCTTGGGTGCGAGTGCCTGGATTGCGGCGGTGGTCTGATCAAGTCGTCGAATGCTCGCTGCATATCGGACCGAACGAGGCCGCTTATCTTTCCCTACAACACTTCATCTCGACCGACGTCGAACAACCGGAGCCCAGCAGCGGATGGCCCTGTGCAACGTCGTAATCGATGGTCCCCCACTCCTGCCTATGATGCTTGCCCGCATGCTCTGACTTCACAACCTCGTAACAGAATGTTCACACCACCAGCCGACCGTGGTTGCGCTTGGTCCTGATGGCCCCCTGTCCAAGCAACTGGCGACAGTCTGGCCATTGCTCCCAACGAACGACACCATGCAGCATGCATCAGCACACCTTCCTTGTCCCTTGGCCCATGGCGAGACGCCCGGAGCGTCTTCGGGGACATGTCATCGCGGAGATGGCCTCAAGCCATCATCAATGGCAATACTGTAGCAGGCCATCGGGACGAGCTCTCTGAGCCAATCATCACATCACCGTGGTCAACACAGGACAATAAAAGGCTTCTCGCAGCCCGCCGTCCTCTTGAGTACCAGACTTCTGCATGGTCATGAAAGTACAGCTTCGACACTACCACTACTACTACCACCTCCAGTCTTTGACACTTCTTCACCACCAGATCTCACCCTAAAGAGAGAGCATCATGGTAGCCCAACAACAAGGAAAGTTCACGGTGGGCGACTACCTCGCCGAGCGTCTTGCTCAGGTCGGCGTCCGCCATCACTTTGTCGTCCCCGGCGACTACAACCTCATCCTCCTCGACAAGCTACAAGCTCACCCGGATCTCAAAGAGGTTGGTTGCGCCAACGAGCTCAACTGCTCTCTTGCCGCCGAAGGCTATGCCCGTGCCAACGGCATCTCCGCCTGCGTTGTCACTTACAGCGTTGGTGCCCTCTCGGCCTTCAACGGCACCGGCAGTGCCTACGCAGAGAACCTCCCCTTGGTCCTCATCAGCGGCTCGCCCAACACCAACGACCCCAGTCAATATCACATCCTTCACCATACCCTCGGCCACCCGGACTACACCTACCAGTATGAGATGGCCAAGAAGATTACCTGCTGCGCCGTGGCCATACCCCGCGCCATCGATGCACCCCGCCTGATCGACCGTGCCCTCCGCGCCGCTATCCTTGCCCGGAAGCCCTGCTACATCGAGATCCCCACCAACCTCGCCGGAGCTACCTGCGTGCGCCCCGGCCCCATCAGCGCCATCACCGACCCCATCACCAGCGACAAGAGCGCTCTTGAGGCCGCCGCCAAGTGCGCTGCCGAGTACCTCGACGGCAAGCTCAAGCCCGTCATCCTGGTTGGCCCCAAAGCTGGCCGTGCCGGTTCCGAGAAAGAGCTCATCGAGTTCGCCGAGGCCATGGGCTGTGCTGTTGCCCTGCAACCTGCCGCCAAGGGCATGTTCCCCGAAGACCACAAGCAGTTCGTCGGCATCTTCTGGGGACAAGTCAGCTCCGATGCCGCAGATGCCATGGTGCACTGGGCCGACGCCATGATTTGCGTCGGCGCTGTCTTTAACGACTACAGCACGGTCGGATGGACTGCCGTGCCCAACATCCCGCTCATGACCGTCGATATGGATCATGTCACCTTCCCCGGCGCACACTTCAGCCGCGTCCGGATGTGCGAATTCCTCAGCCACCTGGCCACCCAGGTCACCTTCAACGACTCCACCATGATCGAGTACAAGCGCCTCAAGCCCGACCCCCCGCACGTGCACACGGCCGAACGCGAGGAGCCGCTCTCGCGCAAGGAGATCTCGCGACAGGTGCAGGAGATGTTGACGGACAAGACCAGCCTGTTCGTCGACACGGGCGACTCGTGGTTCAACGGCATCCAGCTGAAGCTTCCTCCTGGCGCCAAGTTCGAGATCGAGATGCAATGGGGCCACATCGGCTGGTCGATCCCTGCGGCCTTTGGCTACGCCTTGCGCCACCCTGACAGGCACACCATTGTGCTGGTCGGCGACGGATCTTTCCAAGTGACGGCCCAGGAGGTGTCGCAGATGGTGCGCTTCAAGGTGCCCATCACCATTATGCTCATCAACAACCGCGGCTACACGATCGAGGTCGAGATCCACGACGGTTCCTACAACAAGATCAAGAACTGGGACTACGCCATGTTGGTGGAGGCCTTCAACAGCACCGACGGCCACGCAAAGGGCCTGCTGGCCAACACGGCCGGCGAGCTCGCTGACGCTATCAAGGTGGCTGAGAGCCACAAGGAGGGTCCTACGCTGATCGAGTGCACGATTGATCAGGATGACTGCAGTAAGGAGCTCATCACCTGGGGTCATTACGTGGCTGCTGCGAATGCGAGGCCTCCCCGCAACATGTCGGTGCAGGAGTAAGGATGATGCTAATGTGGATAGGCATGTTGAAATGACGGATGTGATACCAAATGATAGTATTATCAAAGATACAACGGCGGCGGCGGCGGCCGAGGTGGCAATGGTGGTGGTAGACAATGGGCCACGATATAGTGTATGGAAAAAGGTTAAACGGGGCTTCAAGTTTTTGTCATGTCAATAAATGTTTTGTTTTCCTTTTAGGCTTGTTTCATAGATCGTTCATCTCATCTCAATTTCTATATATCTCTCCCTCTCCTCATTCATATCTCTGTCTCTCCCGGTTTTGGTTAAAATCTATACAAGGACAAATGGTAAACGAACAAAAAAAACTATACAATCGGATCAGGTTGGTGGCTACTATAGAAGACCAGGTAGAATAGTTTCGGGTGTGGGCTTCGAGAATTCCTCGCAGGAATTGTAAGCAAGCCGTCTTGAATAAAATCACTTTGATACTATCTTTATTTATCACGCAATGAATTTTGTCGTGCCTGGGCAACGACCTGGTATTATCATATTCAGTTGTCATCGTGATTCGGTGCTCTCCTCCGCTCTCCGAAAACACCAAGATGCTACTGCTCCATAGTGATGTCAAACGTCAATGCACAACTAAACGGTTCGTTCCGAGATGCTCGGGCGGGGGCTTACGTTAGCGGAGTTGTCATCCGATTTTTTGGCAATTCTGAGCCTCAGCGATAAACAAACTGTCAAAGCATACGTGGGTGATTATCCTGCTACGATATCTGTGATCTGAAATTGAACAACAGGAAAAAAAAAACACAACAACAAAAACATGAGATTTTATTTTCGTTCATACCATGCTATTTATGCAAATGAGACGAGGTGGTATGTATCAATACGGATAAGAAAGATGAATACGGATAAGAAAGAACAAAAGAAAAAAAAAAAAACCTGCAAAAGAAATGCGCCAGCCGCGAATCGAACGCGGGGCCCATCGATGGCAACGATGGATTTTACCACTAAACCACTGGCGCTGGTTAGTTACTGATACGTACTTTTTTAGGATAGTTGCCCTATATCTCAAAAAACCTTCATCCCTGCTAGCTCTGTTACTCTTGTTCATCTACGTACGGCTGGAGCACCAAGCATACGCCGAGTGATGACACAAGGGAAGATATGTACAGCACATGACAATGAGAAGATAAACGGAGAGAAAAACAGAGATTAAATAGGCACAAGAACGATTAAGAAGATATACAAGGTGATTTGCCAAGTATCTTCCGTTGCGTTGTGGCACCTACCTACCTACCTACCTACTTACCGAATCGACGATGTTACTCGTCTCCTCACTCTCGAAGTATCCCAATCCTCATCAAAGGATCCGAAAAAGAGACTGAGCATAAGAGATGGTGGCTTTCCAAAATTGCAAACCGCTAACTAGCTTTTTCTAATCGGTCTGGTTGGACCGAGACCAGACCACATCAATCGTCTGGTCAAACATGTTTCTTGGCTTGCGTTATGAAGTCGTACTCATACAGCAAGAAAAAAACAAAGTCGGAGGCATTCCGACGATCGAGCCCGAGTTCGAACAAACGGAGCCTAAAACCGGGACATGGGATTTGCACTCAGCCCGGATGGCGGCGCGGAGATCGGAGGATATGGAGCCCGGAGTACGGAGCTGTACCGAGCACTGGCTTGGCCCCGCATCATCTTTGGTAACTTACTCCAGTCATCACTTAAGCCTCCTGGCCTTAGGAACATTTGAGAAGTTGCTCGTAGGTGGGATTTCTGTCAATCGCATCTATCAACCCTCCCGTTTCAAGGTTCTGGTCTAGAAAGCCCGCATCCTTTTCCCCCTTTGGATAAACGGGTTCTGTCATCAAACGCCTAAAATAGTTCCATCCTGGGTCCATCTCATTGGTCTAGCATGGAAAACAGCCTGTGAGGTGAGCTGCCCTGGAGATGCAGCAGGTATGCTTCTAGCAGGCACGACGGAGCTTATGGAAGCTTGAGTGCCTGGTTAGTTGCGTGCGCCTTGCATTTCCTCTTTCTCACGTTCGTGTGTTTACCTAGAGGTACCTCCTCAATCTGCTCTGTCCCCGCCAGGACAATTTCCTTGCAGGGAAAATGTCAACGAACATCCAAGATCACGAACTCTGTCTTGCACAAAATGGCCACTAGGAACCTCTTGAACTTCAGCCTGGGTCTTTTCCACGTCTCCATGGCCGTGGCATCATCATCAGCCCAATCTCTCACCGTCGGCTCCCCCTCCAACCCCCCCTTCGGCCTTCCTTCCTCCGACTTCGCCCTCGCCATCGCACACCCCGTCTCGAACGCCTCATTTCCAACCACAGGCTACAACGTCTCCATCCCCGCGGGCCCCGCCGACGCCACCGGCAGTGAAATTCCCGGGTGGTATCTCTCCATCAGCGTGGCAGCCAACATACCCTTGACCAACGCATCCGACACCTCCTCCTCCTCCATATCGGCCAAAGACAAAAAGAGCAAATTCACCGAGGCGGCGGTCCTATCGCTTGTGCCTCCTTCTACCCACCGACAGGAAGGGCTAGACGCCGAAAGCTGGAGGGTGTGCGCCATCGTGTTTACCGGGGGGTTATCGGGCGAGACGACGGAGACGGCGCAGACCGCGCGGTTGGACGGTACTTGTGCGGCGTTGTTGCCGAGTGAGTGTATTCAGGGGTTGCAGATCAATAGCGTGGCGAATAACACTGGGAAGGACAAGGATGATCTAGGGGCGTGTGGGAGTTTGGCGGTTCCTGATGCGTGTTTGGAGTATTTCGGGGGGACAGTCGGGGTTGGGTATGGTGAGTTTTCCACCTTGGGTTGATGTGTTGATGTCCACTGGCGTGGACCTGGTGGTGTCGAGAGATATACCATGGACGAGTAGATGCTGATTCTGTGCTAACATGATGACTTCTTCTTCTTCTTCTTCTTCTTCTTCAAGAGATCGAGAGCAGCAACTTTGATCAAAGCAGTCGACGGTATTCCTTCTTTGCGGCGGCTTCGGCTCCAGCTGGCAAAGACAACGCCTCGGCGCTTGTGGCTATGGAGCGCGTGGTATGGCCGGTGGTGATAACGTGGACACATTTCTCTTCTAGCGGTGAGGTCCATGATAGCGCTGGCTGGCTGTCTTGCGTTAAGGCGCCGAATACTACGAATTGGATAGCCGCGAAGAATGCAGGAATGGGCAAGGGAAAGTCTATGTGGGCTTTGATTGTTGCTCTTGTCTTAACGGGTGTTGTAACCGCCATCTAGATGGGTAGTTCGATGACCCAAGACCGGGCCTACATGGGTGGAATGGGATCTCGACGCTGCTCAGTTATCGAATGTAAGGCAGAACAAGGAGTATGATTGTGATGGTGATATGTATTGTCGATCTATGTTGTTCTATTTTGTCGCCATCCTCGTTGCCACTGCTGTCGCGAGATGTTAGCTGGCGCATCAGGGGCTGTCGGTCATTCTGCGGATGCTGCTTGGCAATATTCGCCCAAACCCTCTAATTATCCGAAAACAATTTTCTGCACAGCATAGAAAACAGGTTAGAAATTCCCTTTCTTGGATCACATCCTCATCATGGTCACCGGATGAAGCCAAGAAGTGTCGTTGGGGTGTGGGATTTTAGAGTTGCCCAGCGTCACTAGCGTTGCCCTGAAGCTTGGGGCCATGACGGTCTAGGCTGCCCACTAACGAGTTCGGTTAGGTACCTGGCACGGGCCTCTTCCAATCAGTTGGTTCCTCACTGTCTCGACGGGAGATGTGGCTGCCTGGCCAAGCCGCTCCAACATCGATCTCAAAAGCATCATGAAGTTGGGTTGGTATCCAACTTGATGCAGCTTAGCGCCCGCCTTTGTCTTTGGAGGTTGTTGACACGGCCTCCCGAGCCCTTCTTGCACACGACAGGTTTTTATGGCGATGAACCTCGCTGATGTGAGTGGAAACTTGTTGATCGTTGTGCTTCTACCGCTCGTACATAGCTACTGTGTATGTATTCTTGTCAGGATGGCATCGAACTCTGACTGGACTAGGCCTAGGTAGCGTCCTGTGATTGTGATGGATGGCAGCAGCCACTTGACACCATCAAGATGATGGCGCATAGGTGCCCCCTTTTTGGTGCAGTCCAGACCTTCTCCGGCTTTAGCCATTTGCAGGGATATCCCCTCACAACCTAAGTGTCTGGTGTGGAAATTACTGACGCTGGAAGACACTCACATAACGCAAAGCGTTGATCAAGGCATCATGTTTGTCTCAAGTTGAAGAGTATGTCTCAATACCTCTCATCATGCTCTTCTGGACTCGTAGATGTAGTTGTCTCGGAATACGATATGGATACCAAGTTCTAGAGTCGTTCCTGAAATGGAAAAGAAACCCACGGATGTCTGACAGCTTGGCGGCTTGCTTGGCAGGAGTGGCCGCGGGGTGGGTGTGGACCCTGGGCCTGCCGAGGAACGGTTGCATCTGCGTTAGAACATCCATCTCCATTGCACCAGGGCAGGGCAATCTCCACGAAGAGGATGGAATATGAGCTCCCTGAATATCGTCAGGTTGGTTTATCGCGCAACTGTCATTCTAAATGAAAGAGTGTAACTTCGAGTTGATGAGCATCAACACGATCAACAGTTACATTCGTCCTGAAACAAGCACTCGGTTCAAAACGGCCTCGGGATCTTCATTCTTGCCTTGCTTTCCCCTGAGAGTGTGCCCGGGAATTTTAGTGGATCGAGAGGGGATCATCCAAGTATCTGGCGATTGCATGCGAATCATAGCAGTAAACGGCAGCCACATTGCTGCCCATGCCTTGATTGGCAATGTTGCGGCATTAGTAGGAGAGGTACCTCGGCTCAATCCCACGCCCGCCGATGCTGGGATTCCAGTTCCATCTTCAGTTGTTCCCTTCACTACAGTTTCTCAACAGATTGACCAGAACACGATAGGTACTAGTATTGTAGAACCAAGTATCTCCCAGTAGGTATGTCACGGTCGAGTTACTATGTATCCCAAGCACTGCGCATTTTTCCCACAGACCAAGACGTATCCCGGCGTGTCGGTTCAATTAGGACGACTCATCCCATGCTTACCCTGGGTTTCCCGTTCAGGCTCTAGCAGGGGAGAGCCACCATACCACGACCCAATGCGATGAGACAGAACAAAAACAGCTTATTTCATTTACTCTACCGTGTGCTCCATTCAACCTCCGATCAGAGACATGACATGTCAGAGCCCTTTCGAGTCGACACCGCCCCTCCCTCCCCTCCCTCCTTTGCCTCCTCCTCCTGCGTTGCAGGTCCTTACTTCTATGTACCTGCGAGTCTGCTTCACCTACCTGAGGTAGATACCTACCTAGGTACCTTACCGATTGACATTTGTCAGTTTGGTTTGCCATCTCGAACAAGCAACATGGCGGCATGAAAGCCCCCAACATTGGACTTTTCTTTTTTTTCCATCCGTTTAGCTGGTGTCTTTGAGCCATTGATATCCCCAACTTTTCCATGCTACCACTCAGGAACGGGTCCCGGTATGGTGGGCTCGTATTTGGTATCTCTAGTCGCTCATTAATTCCTCTTTCAGCCCTGTCTAGCGTCTACCCTGCCACCTTTTCCCACGCTTCTCCATTCCTTATTTTAGCCGCCCTGCAACCAACCCTGCATTCCGCGAGTCCGGCGCTGAGGTTTGAACCTTGCCGAGCCCACCTGGAGGGATCCCCGGCTTACGCGATCACAGGAGACTGACTTGATCCCGATTCCACTCGCCGCCCCTGCTGCCCTCCACTCAAGGCACTAAAGATACACCTCCACCCACCTCTTCGTGATTCTCCAGGCGATCGTCGAACCTGGTGGATCATTCAGCTCCATGGGGAACTCGAGAGTGGCATGACGTCTGCACTCTCTCTTGATCGCGAATGAATCTTTCTTTTTCTGCGCCTGCGACCTGATCTGTTTCCCTTCAAATGATCAAGACGCCCCGTCGTGGCCAAGACAGCCTCTGCTTCATCCCCACGCTGCCCAGGATGTTCACGCGCAAATCCATCACCATCGCCCTATGTGCGGCTTTCAGTCTGCTTCTTCTTCTGGCCACCTCGAGGCGTCTTGGCGGCTGGACTGCCATTGACGACCCTCTCTACCAGTCTGGTGGCCATGGTCACCACCCTCCCCCACCGCCGGGACACAATGGTCCTGGCCCCAGGCCACATCCCTCCGAGAACCCAGACTGCGCCGGTTACCCGATTCCCGACAACATTCTGGTTATCATGAAGACGGGCGCGTCGGAATCCTTCAACCGCGTGCCCACTCAACTTATGACGGTGCTCAAATGTGTACCCGACTTCCTCATCTTTAGCGACATGGAACAGAAGATTGGTGGATACCCGGTGTACGACAGCTTGTCCAACGTGTCAGCCGAGGCCATGGAGGGGAACTCGGACTTTGACCTGTACCGTCGCCAAAAGGCGTGCCCTGTTGATGTCGAGGGCTGCAACAAGCAGGGCAACCCCGCGACCGAAGGCTGGAATCTCGACAAGTATAAAAATGTCCACATGGCGGAGCAGACGTATAAGATGCGCCCAGGCTACGACTGGTACGTCTTTGTAGACGCCGACACATATGTTCTGTGGCCCAACCTGGTACACTGGCTAGGCAAACTGAACCCGAACAAGAAGCACTACCTTGGCAGTGTCACCTTGATCCAGGGCTTCAGATTCGGTCATGGCGGGTCGGGCTATATCGTCAGCAAGGCGTCGATGAAGGCGCTCGTCGACGAGAATCCGGGCGTGGGACAAAAGTACGACTTGCGCGCAAAGCGTGAATGCTGCGGAGACTACGTTTTTGCCTTGGCGCTCAAAGATAACGCTGATGTCTCTGTCGAACAAATGGTGAGTTTCTCTGTGCGCACGAATTGAGAACAGATTCAATGTACTAACCAAGGTGTTTCACAGTGGCCGACCATCAACGGCGAGAAGCCCGCAACGCTCCCGTTTGGTCCCTGGCATTGGTGCCACCCAATCGTGACAATGCATCACATGAACAGCGAAGAGATCAACACGTTTTGGGAGTTTGAGCGCCGCTTCCGCAGAGAGCAAATTGCATCAGGAAAGCCGCGACCGCTTCTCATCAAGGACATCTACCACGAATATCTCGAACCCAAGCTCAAGCGCGAGCAGCTTGACTGGGACAACAAGTCCGACGACCGTTTCTATGTCGACATTTCCGCAAAACAATGGGACGAGGGCACCCTTCATCGCATGAAGCCGGCGAACGAATACAACGAGCTCGAAAAGGTCGCCCACCGATCAGCCTCCGACTGCGAAGCGGCGTGCAAGAGCTTGCCTCCCGATGACTGCGTGCAATACAAGTACGAGGATGGAAAGTGTGCCATGCATAGGTCCTTCATTCTGGGCAAGCCGGTACCGAAGAAAGAAGGGGCCAAGCAAAGCATCAGTGGTTGGGATGTTGAAAAGATCAAGGAGTGGACCGAAAGGGAGAAGGTCTGCGACAAGATCCAGTGGCCGAACCTCTCTAGCTAAATGGGCACATTCGAAGAAAAAAAACAGAAAAAACAGCATCATATTTGAATCATAGCGGCCATCGCCCCATGACCTGCGTCAAGCTGGCTTTAAGTGGCCGTCACTCCACACACGCATTTCTCGGGTGCCGAGGTGCGCTTCTCGTGTGCGGAGGCGCGCAAGCACATGCACAACATTCCTCGGATGTTGCAAAAGAATGGGTGCAGTGTGAGAACTCGGTCCGCAGCAGTTGCATAACAACGTGGATCACGAGGGTCATAAAGATATACTTGCTTAAGTAAGGAAGAAGTCCGCTTATAACACCATCGGATTGGGATAATCTGGGCATAAGGAGGATTTTTCGAATGTGTAATACTTGGCTTGGACTTGGGAGATCATGGACAAGAGGGATAGAGGGCGTTATGGTGCTTTTGGGGGTTTACTCTTACCATGGGGACAGCGGATAGCACAAGCGGATATAGCGCATTGTCGGACACATCTGCATTACGATGACGATAATCAAAAGATAGTTGGAATGACTAACTTCAGTTGTTCATAATCATACTAATCATCTTCAAGGTCTAATCGTGTTATTTTAATTGACATCCAAGTAGAACCGACTGAGGCTGCTTATGACTCTTAAGGAGTACGACTGGGCAGGATTTCAACATCCAATGGCAGCTCGCAGCTGCCCGGCTAGCTCAATCGGTAGAGCGTGAGACTCTTAATCTCAAGGTTGTGGGTTCGACCCCCACGTCGGGCTCAATTCCCGATGTTCAACAACATCTTCTTTTTTTTGGTTTTTTTTCACTTCGAGAACACAAAGCAGTGATGACAGTGCCGAATCATTTTATTTTGGGTTAGACGATCTGAATGGTTATTCGGTATGTGGCCGCGGGCAGGCGAGCGGGCGGGCGGGCGGTTGGGGACGGGATGAGATTGAACCAACACGATTAGCGAGATGAGCACCGTCAGAAACCACAGCTAGTCGACCTTATGAACGCAAACAACGACAGGTCCCGGAGCATCCGGATGGTGGCTGGTGAATCGAACAAAGTTGCCTTTGGATCCTCGGAATGACCCAAGTACAAACAATAACAAAACTCGTTACTTGTACATACCATGGTTGCTCCCTACTTTGGTCGACTTCCCCACCCACGACATGGTGAAGCTGTTGTTTCAGCGTTAAACTCCCGTGTTCCGTTTCCTCGAGGTTTGTCGAGCTTCAAGTTGTGCTCGGGTGTTTTTCCTCTGCCCCTGAGGCGCAGCAACTCAACTTGTCGCATGGTATGATAGTTCCTAGCGTTCAGGGGCTTAAATGGTTCAAGCTTTTCGGGGGGGTCAGGGTCCAACCTTGATGACGTCAATTCCGGAAAGATGTCGCTCTGGATGGATGACGGCGGATGTATCACGCCCGGACCGGCACAACTAAGCCAATGTACCGAATACACTACCTCTTGGGGGTTGTTCGCCGGGGTTCAAGACAGCCAGAAAAAAAAAAAAAAAAAAAAAAAAAAAAAAAAACCTCGAACCGGTAAAATGAATTTCTTCAAAATAGGGTGAATGCATCTCAAGCCCTTTTTCATTCTTCACAAAGTCACCCGAGGTGCTTCTCTCATGTCATACAGGCCACTACCACGCAAGCGAGAGCCCATGCGGCACTCATATCAGTGGTGCATGCATGGATGCAGTGTATCTTATCAGCAACCAAACATCTGCACGATGCGCCCGGAATTCCCACGATCCGGGAGGTCGCAAAAGGTTTCCGAAACACGTTCGGGCACCTGTCAAAATGCCACAACGCATAGTACAACAAAGAGCAGGAGAATTAGCGATGTGCCGACGGTTGTGTCATGCTGAAGGCAATATGCCTAGGTACAGTACATACCTCTATGTAGATGTCGGATCGTTGTTACTGTTGGTCCAAGTCATCTGGACTTCTAATGATGAGAGACTTTGGATGATCGTGTCCGAGCTGCGACAGATGTCGCGACAGATGTGAAACAAGTTCGATCTGATCCCCCTTAGCCACGAGTCGCCAAGGCATAAAACTATAATTCTGCGTTGAAATTCCTTCCGAACTGATTCTTGTTCGACAAACGTGTCTTTACAATAAACACAGCACTTGTTTCTTTTTAGTTCTGTTGTTTTTGGTGTGTTGTTTCTCTGCATTCTGCTGAGCAACTGACTCCTTCGATTTTCGCACCAATGTCGATGCATCACCACCCGCACTTACACAAAAATCGGGAATAGCTGCCAAGATCGACTTGCACATCACTTACACATGCTGTCTTGGCGAACCACCAGCAACTGAACGAAGACGACATCAACTCATAGCACCATTCTTTGGACATTAATTCGTCCACACTGTACCGTTTCCGCCAACCGATACTTTAGCAATCAACAAGCACAATAAGATCGGGGCTACGCGATCAAGATCACTTGACAAGCGCAGGCGACACTCACTCTTGGCAGGCCCAAGTGGAAGAAGAATACAACACGTCAACGACGAGACGATCACTTGATTTAATATAAACCCCATCGAACCCAACAATTCCTTTGTGCTGCGCACCATCACGCCTAGTAATCAACCTACCCTCAAAACTTCAATTCTTCGCCATGGATCACAAATCAGTCTCGTCTCGAGTACGAGACCTCGCCAAGGTACGCATTCCTCCACTTCTTCCCATCCACCCACCTGCCTGCTAGCACTGTTCGCTTCAAGGCCTCATCATCACTAACACACCTTTCTTCACTCCAGTTTCTATCAACAGTCAAAGGCGACCTCTCCAACATCACCGGCCCGCCGCACCTCCTGGCCCCGTCCTCCGTCGTCGAAGTAGGCCACTGCTGGGCCCAACGGCCCTCCGTCTTCGCCGCGCCCTCGCTCGAGTCCGACCCCGAAAAGCGCATGCTCCTCGTCCTGCGCTGGTTCCTCATCGCTTTGCGCAGCCAGCTCTACATCGGCTCTACCGGTTCCAAGAGCAGCAGCATCCGCAAACCGCTCAACGCCTTCTTGGGCGAGCTCTTCTTGGCGTCCTGGACCGACGCCGAGAAGAAATGCACCACCACGCTCGTCTCGGAGCAAGTCAGCCACCACCCGCCCATCACCGCCATGCACGTCAGCGACGCCGAGCACGGCATCCGCTCGACGGGGTACGCGCGCGTCGAAATGACGTTCAATGGCACCGTCAACATCCGCCAGGTCGGCAACGCCGTGCTGCATATCGATCGGTTTGATGAGGATTACCTGATTCCGCTGCTGGACGCCAAGGTCCGCGGCATCCTGTCCGGGTGCATGTACCCGGAGGTGCTGGGTACGTATTCCATCATTGGCAGCAGCGGGTACCAGGCCGAGGTCCGGTTCACGGGCGAGGGCATGATTCGGGGGAAGCGCAACTCGTTTGAAGCGCGAGTGTTCCATAGAGATGATCCCTCGAAACAGACGCTGTATGAAGTCAAGGGGTGCTGGAGCGAAGGAGGGTGGACGGTGCGCGATCCGCGCATGGGCGAGACGGTGGAGGTGTATGATATTGATGCGCCTGAGAACCAGCCGGTGCCGATTGTGGTTGATTCACTGGCCGAGCAAGATCCGTGGGAGTCGAGGAGGGCGTGGGAGGGCGTATTTAGGGGCATGGCGGAGGGCGATATGCGGATGGTGTTGAATGAGAAGACGAGGATCGAGCAGGCGCAGAGGAAGATGAGGGTTGAGGAGAAGGAGAGGGGGATTGTGTGGGAGCCTCTGTTCTTCAAGAGCGTGCAGCCCGAGGAACATGAGGTCTTTCATCGGTTAACGGAGGGGACGGGACTGAAGTTGCTTAGTGAACGGACGAAGGGGGTGTGGAAGCCGGATTTGGAGAGGATCAAGAAAGCGCAGAGGCCATTTAGGCTGGGTGTTACACCTTTGGGGTACTGTTGATTGTGTGGGACATTCATTTGGAGCATGTTCATGGTTTTTTGATGTTGTTGTTTTTTGTTGGGTTGCAGGATATATGGAGCGTCGGCGTTTAGGCATGGGGGTTGTTATGCGCTATGAATAACAAATCTACAGATAGTCCGTTAGTGCGGTTCGAGAACATAGCCAACGTCACGATTTAAACGGCCATAAACACACATTGAAATCTCCTTTGTTGATCCTGAAAATCCTCGAACATATCCAGTGGACTCTGATGTTTGTTTCACATTTGTTAGACTGATGGCTCCTTAATTGTTTTTTGTTTCCCATCTCGAGAAAGTCGCGAACTAACTGAGTGAATGTACATTGTTGGGGGAGGGGGAAGGGGTGTGCATGTTGCAGGATTCTCTGCTTTGAGGGAACCAATTCGAGAAATCCTTCTTTCAACCGAACAAACGTGACAATTTCTCACATTGCAATGAACTTCAGCATTACCTCTACCCTTTCATTAGTACCCATCGAAGATGAGTTGTCTTACGCACATCTCCGACTGCGGGAGCGTTCGAGTCGAAGGAAAGGAAGGGTTCGTAACGAAACGATGACAGAATCCAATCCTTAACCTGCAGGATATCGGCTGGCACAAGAGGCGAAGGAGGTGAAGGCCTGTCCTCTGGTAGTCCACCTGTTGAAGTTACGCTAACTGAAGGTTGAGTCAGTGATGATTACATCTGGTGTGGCTACGAAACGTGTTGCCGCTGCCATGCTTTCATCACTACCTTGAAACACTTAAGAGAAACTCAACAGCAAATAGGCTGCTTTCTGCCGTTCGAGTGATAGAACCATATGGTCTCAATTGTCTCCACGTGGCCGAGGCCGTTACAAGCCGTGCCATATTCATTTCTAGGTGACGACTCCCATTGAAGGACACTCTCAGACACTGGGCTAGATGATTCGATCACTGAAACTCGAGAGAAAAGGCCAAAAAAATGTGTTGATCCAGATCAAAACAGCTGTGTGTCCCACTCAGTAGTCGTAATCTTACCAGCCCTCGACAGGAAACTAAAACATGAGTAGTCACCATTACCCAAGTCAACCCCCGCCTCCAACTGTGACCACTGCAGTGCACTCAGTTTAACCGGAGACATCCATTCCGCTCTACTTCAGCCGCCGTGCGGTATGAGATCGAATTGAGGTTCACGGCACTCAATACAGCTTATATACGTTTCGTATCATTGCACAAATGAAGGGCCAGTGCACAGAAAAAGATGGTTGCAGCTGATGAGCAATTTAGAAGACCGCGGGACGATGAAACCTTCCATGCGGAGTGGGTGATGAGACTGTAGTGTCAGTCCATCGATTGTTTGCAACTTCCGGTTTGGTGGGCTTCAACACGGCAAGCCGGCCGGGCAGCCAAGAAGGAACGTAAGTGTAACTACTCCATTGTTCTTTCTTACACTGCAAGTTGTAGTAATAACCATCATAACCAAGTAATCTCCCTTGACTGTATTAGAGTGATATCAATGGTAACCGCTTCTAGCTGATTTGCGTTTTACTGTTTAGGTTGCCGCTTCTCGGAGAACCAGAAATGCTCAGGTGCGAGTTCGGGTTCCGCGCCCATCCTCCGGTTATTGACAACGGTATAATGTGGAAAGGCTAAAATAAAATATCAGGATAATCTAGGATAACGAATAAATGACCGGCAGATGGATTGCTGGAAGGGCCCTATCCCTCATTGACTTCGGAACAATATAGGTTTTCATCCGCGCTGTGAAAAGTCAGTCATGAGCAGATATTGTCAGACATTAAAAGCATCGCAATGAGAAGCTTTAATTCTCCTCAGGCGAGCCACAGAACTAACTGTCTGCATCGCACAATCGACATCTTTCCATAATATTCACCGCTACCCGTCCATCAATCAAGAAGAGTAAAGTCCAATTCTACAACCGCCAAAATGTTCTCCCCTTGCCCCAAAACACTCCTCCACCCATAACATCCTCCATCCCCACCCCAACGACCTTACAACCCGGCGCCTACTGGATCCGCGCCGTCGTCCCACCCAATTACCACAAATACCTCCAAACCAAACCCGCCAACCTTCCCGGCCCCGCCATTCTCGACTCCTACACCACAGCAGGCCAATTCAACATTGTCGACGGGCAGCTAGTCAACAAAGTGTCCAGTCCGCCTCTGTACTTGTGGGTGGAGGAACCGCCGCCCAACTCATCGCCGCCAAGGACGCTGGCAACGTGGTTCAATACCACTAGAAACCCCTTTGGTACGTTTGCGTGGCAGGGGGACACGCTGACGTGGAGCGTGGCGAGCATCAAGAGGCAGAATGTGGCGGCTTGGTTGGTGTGTAATCAAAAGGATCAGGGAGCGCTGTTTGTGAATACGGGGGCTTATGGGTATCAGACGCCGAGCGGGTGTGCGGATCAGACGGTAGGGTTTTTTTTTTCCCCTCCTTCTTTTCTTTTGTTTCTTGATTTTTTATACTTTATAGTTCTTTTTGACCCTGATATTCTCTCAATCGGTGATGGTAATGGTGGTAGTGTGAGACGCGAGTGGGCTGGGCTAACAGATGGAATAGATACACTATTATAACGACAAGACTGCAAACAACTAGCAGAGGACATAGGAATAAAAGGACTTGTGGATGGGGGCGGGAGATGGACGCCATTATGAGACTTCTGGAAGCAATTGTATGCGTAGTAAAGCAAGGAAGTCACTGATCAACAATAAACGAGTTAATGACAAAACACTGGTGGATTCATGCTCAATAATAATTCTGCTCCGGGTATCTTGCTAAGTAACGAAAGACCAACCACATTGACACTTGCTTCCCCCACCTCACTCTCAAACAATACATCATCACCGCACCTTGCAGACTCCTTCACACTCTAAACCTTCTCATGCTCATGCACTTCAATCTCGTGCTCCACCGTCTTCCTCGCCTTGACAGCCTCAATCTCCGCCGTAAGTCTCGACTCGCCCTTCTTCGTCTTCCACGGCTTAGGACCCTGATCACCAAACAGAATCTCAATCTCCTCCAGCGTCTTACCGCACGTCTCCGGGTAAAACAGCCAGAACCAAACCGCCGCCGTGACGCAAAGCACACCGAAGATGATAAACAGCTTCCACGTAATATTGACAAACGCCGGCGGCGTGAACATGCCCAGCGCAAAGTTGAACACCCAGTTGGACATGGCAGCCATGGACATGCCCGTAGCGCGCGTTCCCAAAGACCAGACCTCGGCGGCGTAGATCCAGCAGACGGGAGCGAGCGTCAAGGCGTAGACGACAATGAGCAGGTACGAGAACAGGATGACCGTGTTGGCGGGCGCGCCCTTGTGCACGCTAATGACAATGTTGGCGTTGCCGCCGACTCCCTCCGGAACGTTGTCGTGGTGCGCGCCCATGACGCCGCCGACGACAAAGTGGCAGAAAGCCATTCCCAAGGCGCCGTAAACCAAAAGGGTGCGACGACCGGTCTTGTCGATGAAGAGCCACATGACGCCGGTGAAGATGATGAAAACGGCGTATTGGATGCCCGAGGTCACCATGGCGACGTTGCCTGTGAGTCCAGCCATTTGGGCGATGTAGGTTAGGTAGTAGACGATTACGTTGGCGCCAGCGAGTTGCTGTTGAGAGGGGATGTTAGTGAACTGGTTGGTGACGATGGTGGGACGGGAGATAAGGGAAACAAGAAGAGAACGTACCTGCCAAGCCTGTACAGTCATACCAGCCATGGTGCGCTTCCACATGCCGTTCTTGACGAACTTCCTCCATCCCTTACCGGCCTCACGCTCGGCGTTCATAACGGTGACAATCTCCTCCCACTCGGCAACGACTCTCGGGTCATCAACGTTACCATCAGCCTGGATGTTAGCCAGGACAGCAATGGCCTCCTGGTCCCTACCGACCTTGGCCAGCCATCTGGGTGACCTAGGCAAGAAGGGAAGACCAATCATGAGGAAGAAGCAAGGGATAAACTGGATGCCCCAAGCGGTCCGGAACGAAGCAGTGCCCTCGATCGACGCACAGCCGTAGCCGATAAAGTACATGATCAAGATACCGAACTCGATGGCGAGTTGCTGGATGATGACCAGGGAACCACGCTTCTCTGCCTTGGCAATCTCGGCAAGGTAGACGGGGACCTGGGAGGAAGTGATGCCGACGGTAAAGCCGTTGAGCACACGGCCGGCGATGAGCTGGCCATAGTTCTTGCACGCAACCTGGACGGAGGTACCAATGAGCCAGAAGAAGCAGGCGAAAAAGATGGAGTCACGACGACCGATCTTGTCGGAGAGAGGACCGGCGATGGCGGAACCGACGACGGAGCCAGCGGCAAGGGCAGAGCCGATGGCTCCTTGGATGATACCATGGGGGTTGTTGAAGTAGGTGAGGTATTGGTCGGTTACGACGATGGCGGACATGGAAGAGATATCAAAGCCGAAGCTGGAGTATCAAGAGTGGTCAGCATCCACCTAGTCATTTCTTCCTTTGTTTTCTTGTGTGTAACCAGACAGCCCAGTTGGGTAGAAGAAAGATTGGGATAAAACTTACAGTGCACCACCCAAGGTGGCAATGATAGCCACAAGCTGGACATTGTAGATTGTCGGTAGCTTAAGCCCGAGCCCCATCTTGACTGTTTGCCGCAGCAGTTGCGCTGACTACGGATATCTCGAGGAGTTGAAGAGAAACAAAGCCTGGAACAGAGACGCTGGTCTCTTCCATCCTCCGAGAGAAATGGGAGTCCCCCTTATACATATGTTTTCCCCGAGACAGAGCCAGCAAATCCTCATCCCAGGAGGACCGTCAGCCTGGAATCGTTTTCATGTTGCATCACTCGCGCGAAGGATGCAAGCATCCCCGGAAGGGGGTTGAGTTTGGCCTGCAATGGAACCGGGGAAGTGGGGTCCATGCTGTGTTCTGGCGCTGGTAGGGCCGAGAAGATATTGGTTCGATTGGACCGAAGGAAGGGGGCAAGTGTAGTAAGTACGGCGGCGGTAAAAGGCAGTGGAAAGGTTGTGTGAGACTGTAAGACAAGCCAAGGCGGCTGGTCGCCGGTCACTGTCGTTGTGAGAGACAGAAGAGGAAGTTGGATGTTCCTCCAATCAAGGGCATGTGAGTCCAAGCCATCCTGCCTTCGAGCATGGTTAGCCGACCGGAAGCAGGGCCGCAAGACGAAAATTGCGGGGTGCGGGGATGCGGAGATGCGGAGGCGGTCCGGGGCCATGATAGGTGCGCTTGTAGGCTTTCGT